AAATACAGCACAGCTGAGGATTGGGTGCTCTTAGCAAGCTGGAGGTGCTCTGGGGTTCATGGGGTGCTGCTCCATGCAGAGGGATCCAGGCAGGTCCAACAGGATTGATCCCATTGGGGAGACCCAGCTCGAAGCCTGGGTGGGTGCTATGGACAGTGCCTCTTCTGATTTTTCATACTTTGTCTCCTGTTTCCTGTGTTCCACAGCCCTAAAAATGGTTCTGGGATCTGGCAGGGATGGGGGAACACAGCACAGCTGGGGATGGATTCTCTTACCAAGCCAGAGGTGCTTGGGGGTTCATGGGGAGCTGCCCTGTGCACAGGGATCCAGGCAGGCTCAACAGGGTTAATCCCATTGGGATTAATGTCACAGCCAGGGTGGGTGTTCTGGAGAGTGTTCATCTGAGAGATGAGAGAGTTCTCACCCATTTTTCCACACTTTGTCTCCTCTTTCTGCTGCTCCACAGCCCTAAAACTGGTTCTGGGAGCTGGCAGGATTGGGGAAATACAGCACAGCTGAGGATTGGGTGCTCTTAGCAAGCTGGAGGTGCTCTGGGGTTCATGGGGTGCTGCCCCATGCACGGGGATCCAGGCAGGCTCAACAGGGTTAATCCTTTGGGGACACCCAGCTTATAGCCTGTGTGGGTGTTCTGGAGTGTTCATATGAGAGATGAGAGAGTTCTTATCCATTTTGCCACATTTTGTCTCCTGTTTTCTGTGTGTTCCACAGTCCCAAAAGTGGTTCTGGGAGCTGGCAGGGATGAGGGAACACAGAACAGCTGCTCTTGCTGAGCTGGAGGTGCTCTGGGTGTTCATGGGGTGCTGCCCTGTGCACAGGGATCCAGGCAGGGTCAACAGGGTTAATCCCATTGGGGAGACTCCACTCACAGCCTGGAATGGAGGGTGGCTGTTCTGGAGAGTTCTCATCCATTTTTCCACACTTTGTCTCCTGTTTCCTGTCTGTTCCACAGCCCCAGTCCTGGTTCTGGGGTCTGGCAGGGATGAGGGAACACAGCACAGCTGAGGATTGGGTGCTCTTACCAAGCTGGAGGTGCTCTGGGGGTTCATAGGGTGCTGCCCCGTCCACAGGCATCAGGGCAGGTCCAACAGGATTGATCCCAGTGGGGAGACCCAGCTCACAGCCAGGGTGGGTGCTCTGGACAGTGTTCATCTGAGAGAAGAGAGAGTTCTCATCCATTTTGCCACATTTTGTCTCCTGTTTCTGCTGTGTCTCCTGTTTTCTGTGTGTTCCACAGCCCTAAAAGTGGTTCTGGGAACTGGCAGGGATGGGGGAACACAGCACAGCTGGGGATGGATTCTCTTACCAACCTGGAGGTGCTGTGGGGCTCATGGAGTGCTGCCCCGTGCACGGGGATCCAGGCAGGTCCAACAGGGTTAATCCCATTGGGATTAATGTCACAGCCATGGTGGGTGTTCTGGACAGTGTTCATCTGAGAGATGAGAGAGTTCTCACCCATTTTTCCACACTTTGTCTCCTGTTTTCTGTCGGTTCCACAGCCCTAAAAGTGGTTCTGGGAGCTGGCAGGGATGGGGGAACACAGCACAGCAGGGATGGGATGCTCTTGCTGAGCTGGAGGTGCTGTGGGATTTGTGGGGTGCTGCCCCGTGCACGGGGATCCAGGCAGGTCCAACAGAGTGAATCCCTTTGGGGAGACCCAGCTCGAAGCCAGGGTGAATATTCTGGACAGTGCCTCTTCTGATTTCTCACACTTTGTGTCCTGTTTTCTGTGTGTTCCACGGCCCCTGCCCTGGCTCTGGGAGCTGGCAGGGATGGGGGAACACAGCACAGCAGGGATGGGTGTGTGGGGCACAAGGAGCCGGTCCAACATGGAGCAGGTGTGCAGACATCTGAGAGGGGGCCTGGACATGTGTGAGTGTGCATCACAGAATCCTGGATGGTTTGGGTTGGAAGGGACCTCAAAGCTCATCCAGCTCCACCCCTGCTGTGGACAAGGACACCTTCCACCATCCCAGCTTGCTCCAAGCCCTGTCCAACGTGGCCTTGATCACTTCAGGGGTGGGGGAACTTCTCTGGGCCCCCCCACCAACATCTCAATGGGGAACTGCTCCCTCATATCCCAACCCCATCCCCTGTCAGTGGGCAGCCACCATCCCTGCTCCTGCCACTCCAGCTGCTTCCAGAAGTCTCCCTCCATGTGGCAGCACCTGTGTGCCCTGGAGGTGCCAACAGCCCCATCACCCAGAGCTCCCAGGCCCTGTGGGATCTGTGCTCCAGGCCACCCTGTGCCCCCTGGCTCCCTTCTGTTGACATTCCTGGGCTATTCTGGGAGCTGCCAGCCAGCTGAGCCCTTTGCTCCTTGCTCTGGGCTTGCATCACCTCCTGTGGGTGCTTTTTCCCAGACTCTGTTTACATGGCACCTCTGGCTCGCCCATCCCAGGGGCTCCGTGTGGTCAGGACCTTGGAGCTGGTGCAGCGGGCACAGGACATGCTGGAGCCCTGGCCTGGCAGGGCTTCAAGTTCCCTGGCTTCTCTGCCAATCCCACCCTGGTGGCACCTTGCATCACTTTGGTCAGGTTTCTGCCAGCCCCTGCCCTGCACATCCCGCTCCAAAGAGTCTGAGGAACATCTTCAGCTTGGTGTGAGAAACATCTTCAGCTTGGTGTGAGGAACATCTTCAGCTTGGTGTCAGAAACATCTTCAGCTTGGTGTGAGGAACAGCTTCAGCTTGATGTGACACTGGCTGAGTCCTCAGGACACACAAATCCCCCTTTTTATTTTATTTTATGAGGCTTCAAGTTCCCTGGCTTCTCTGCCAATCCCCCAACACCCTGGTGGCACCTTGCATCACTTTGGTCAGGATTTCTGCCAGCCCCTGCCCTGCACACCCTGCTCCGATGAGTCTGAGGAACATCTTCAGCTTGGTGTGAGGAACATCTTCAGCTTGGGGTCAGAAACATCTTCAGCTTGATGTGACACTGGCTGAGTCCTCAGGACACAGAAATCCCTATTTTATTATTTTATTTTATTTTATTTTATTTTATTTTATTTTATTTTATTTGGCTTCAAGTTCCCTGGCTTCTCTGCCAATCCCACCCTGGTGGCATCTTGCATCACTTTGGTCAGGATTCATCCAGCCCCTGCCCTGCCTCAGCCTGCACATCCTGCTCCAAAGAGTCTGAGGAACACCTTCAGCTTGATGTGAGGAACATTTTCAGCGTGATGTGACACTGGCTGAGTCCTCAGGTTCTCCTGAGTCCTCAGGGCACACAAATCCCCTTTTTTAGTTTGGGAAAAGGAGGAAACACGCTGCACACACTCACTGACCCTTCCCAGCTCTGCCCCAGGCTGAGGACGGACCAGGTGGTCCCAGGGGTGGGCTGAGACCCCCAGAACCTGCTGGGAGTGACAAAAGCCCAGAGATGTGACAGTGCCCTGATCCCTGCTGGGTCCTATAACGGGATTGTCACCTCCAGGGTGCCCGGGGGGCAGTGCCCAGCCTGGGGCAGCTCTGTGGCTTCCCTGCTCCAGCTGGGGGCTCTGCCAATCCCCCAACACCCTGGTGGCACCTTGCATCACTTTGGTCAGGTTTCTGCCAGCCCCTGCCCTGCACATCCCACTCCAATGAGTCTGAGGAACATCTTCAGCTTGGTGTGAGGAACACCTTCAGCTTGGTGTGAGAAACATCTTCAGCTTGGTGTGAGGAACACCTTCAGCTTGGTGTGAGGAACAGCTTCAGCTTGGTGTGAGGAACAGCTTCAGCTTGATGTGACACTGGCTGAGTCCTCAGGTTCTCCTGAGTCCTCAGGACACACAAATCCCCTTTTTTAGTTTATTTTATGAGGCTTCAAGTTCCCTGGCTTCTCTGCCAATCCCACCCTGGTGGCACTTTGCATCACTTTGGTCAGGTTTCTGCCAACCCCTGCCCTGCACATCCCGCTCCAAAGAGTCTGAGGAACATCTTCAGCTTGGTGTGAGGAGCATCTTCAGCTTGGTGTGAGGAACAGCTTCAGCTTGGTGTCAGAAACATCTTCAGCTTCATGTGACACTGGCTGAGACCTCAGGACACAGAAATCCCTATTTTATTATTTTATTTTATTTTATTTTATTTTATTTTATTTTATTCTATTCTATTCTATTCTATTCTATTCTATTCTATTTGGCTTCAAGTTCCCTGGCTTCTCTGCCAATCCCACCCTGGTGGCATCTTGCATCACTTTGGTCAGGATTCATCCAGCCCCTGCCCTGCCTCAGCCTGCACATCCTGCTCCAAAGAGTCTGAGGAACACCTTCAGCTTGATGTGAGGAACATCTTCAGCTTGGTGTGAGGAACATCTTCATCTTGGTGTGAGGAACAGCTTCAGCTTGATGTGCCACTGGTGGCTCGAGGGTGCCCGGGGGGCAGTGCCCAGGCTGGGGCAGCTCTGTGGCACCCACGGATGGCCAGCCCAGCTGGGATCGCTCCGGCTGCCTCTGCTGGCCAGGATTTTCCCCAGCCCTCACTACCTGAGGGTTTGGAGGATCCCGGTGCCCGTTGTGGGGCTGGTCAAGGTTTCTCTTCCCCTCGCCCACAGCTCTGCCCATCCCGCTGCGTGCCCACCCCCGTGTCCGACCCCACTCGTGTCCAACCCACCGGTGCCCCCCTGGGACCCCTCCCGCCGTTCCCGCCGCTCGGCGAGGCCCGGGAGCGGGCGGGGAGGCGGGGTTGGGGTGCTAATCCCGGTAATCCCCGACTTCGGGACGGGACGGGCAGGTGCGGCGGCCAATGGCGGGGGGCGGGGGGGCGGCGGCACCGCCCCCGGCCGCAGGTGCCCAAAGCCGGGCCCGCCGCACCGCTCCCGGTGCCGGTGCCGCTCCCGGTGCCGCTCCCGTCCCGTGAGCGCCGCTCCCGGTGCCCTTCCCGTTCCCGTCCCATCCACCCCGGACCCGTGAGGTCCGTGCCGCTCCCTCGGGCGCCGGTGCCGGTCCCGCCCCGTCGGTGCCGCTGCCGCTGCTCCTCCCGTGCCGTCCGGTGGGCGCGGATGGCTCCGCCGGGCCCGTGGCTGCTGCTGGCCGCCGTTCTGTGCGCGGCGGCGGCGGCGGTGCCCGAGCCCCGGTGCCCGTCGTGCCCGGCGGGCCCGGAGCGGTGGCTGCTGGAGGAGGTGGCCAAGAAGCAGCTGCTGGAGAAGCTGCGGCTCCGCGATCGCCCGCGGCTCGCCCACGCCGTGCCCCGCGCCGCCGTGACCCGCGCCCTGCGGCGGCTGCAGGCGGGAGGCGCCCGCCGGGGCCCCGGGGCCACCGGCAGCGAGGAGGAGGAGGAGGAGGAGCAGAGCTACGAGATCATCAGCTTCGCGGAGACAGGTGGGTGCGCGGGCCCCGAGAGCCCGGTGGGCACCGGCGTGTGGGGTCCGTACCCTGGGGATCCCGGGGACCCGCGGGCTGTGCGTGACTCGGGAGTCCCGGTGACATCCCGGGAGGTGGGAGCTGGTTGGAGACAGGTGGGTGCGCGGTCTCCGAGAGCCCAATGAGCCCCGGGATGTGGGGTCCGTGTCCTGGAAACTCCCGGGGACCTGCGGGGAACGGGAGCCCCGCGGGCTGTGCGTGACTCGGGAGTCCCCAAACTCATCACGCACCGGTGACATCCCGGGAGGTGGGAGGTGGTCGGAGACAGGTGGGTGCGCGGCCCCCGAGAGCCCGGTGAGCCCCGGGATGTGGGGTCCGTACCCTGGGGACCCCCGGGGAACCGGAGCCCCGCGGGCTGTGCGTGACTCGGGAGTTCCCAAACCCATCGCGCACAGGTGACATCCCGGGAGGGAGAGAGGGTGAGATGGTTCCTCTGCTGCTCCTGCTTCTCGGGATTTGTTTTGTCCCCCAAAAACATGAGGGGTGCCTGAGACTCTTGGGTTGGGAGCTGCAGGGTTAATTTGGGGGGCTGGAAGCGCTTTCCAGCCTCACCCCGTGCGAAGAAGGGCCGGGTGAGAGCAGGATCCCCCTGTACACCCCTTCTGCCTGGGACTGGGGTGCAGGGAAGGGTGGAGGACAGACGAAACTGGAAGTTTTGACTCTCTGCATGGCCGGGGAGCATCCCTCAGCGCTCACCTCCTCCTCCCTTCCTCCCCCCAGATCTCACATCTCCCCCCAGTTTGGGGCTGCAATTCCAGTTCAGCCAAGCGCAGGAGCAGGACCTTCTCCTCCTGCAGGCTCAGCTCTGGCTCTACCTGCGAGTTCCCCGCTCCGGCCTCACCCTGAGGATCTTCCAGGCCTCCAAAACCGCGGCCGGGGCTGGGGGCAACCGCACTCTGCTGGCGGAGAGGCGGCTGAGCACGGCGGGCAGCGCCTGGAGCTCCTTCCCCCTCCTGCCGGGGCTCCAGAGCTTCTTCTCCGCGCACAGCCGGACCCTGCGGCTGGAGCTGGACGGCAGCGATGGCACGGCCCAGCTCAACGCCAGCTGGTCCCACCAGCCCTTCCTGGTGGCCAAGGTGAAGGTGAGGGAGCCCGGGCACCGCGTGGCGAAGCGCAGCCTCCGCTGCAGCCAGAATTCCAACCTGTGCTGCCGCAAGGATTTCTACGTGGATTTCCGCGACATCGGTTGGAACGATTGGATCATCAAGCCCGAGGGCTACCAGATTAATTACTGCGTGGGCCAGTGCCCTCTGCACGTGGCTGGCAGCCCTGGCATGGCCTCCTCCTTCCACACAGCCGTCTTCAACCTGGTCAAAGCCAACAATGTCCAGGCCTCGGGGCATTCCTGCTGCGTGCCCACGCGGCGCCGCCCGCTCTCCGTGCTCTACTTCGACCGCAACAGCAACATCGTCAAGACCGACATCCCCGACATGATCGTGGATGCTTGTGGCTGTAGTTAGGGCTGGGGGAGATGTGGTGGGACCCCCCTTTTCTCCAGGATTGTGCTGCTGGTGTGGGGAGGGAGCTGGAGAGCTCCGTGAGCCCTCGGTGGATCCCTTTGGAGAGGTTGGGAGGGTGAGGGGGAGCAGGGGGCTTTGGGGACATGTGGGACAGAGCCAAGGCCACATCAGAGTGCCCAAAGCTGGGCTGTGGGTGTTGGTGACTCTGGACATCCGTGCTGCACTGTTCCCGAGCTGATCCCACATTCCTGGTGCTCACATTCCCCACTTGGGCCACGCTCAGTGTCCCACCAGGGGTTGGGACGTGGCTGCCTTGGGGGCAGAGGTGAGAGGCAGAAACTGGAGCTGCTTCCTCCACGTGGCAGGACCAGGCAGTCCTGCTCGTTTCCCTCCTGGAACAAACCTTCCTGCACCCACTTCAGGCCTGGCTTTGGGGACGCACAGAACAGAGCACAAACAGGCCTGGGAGAGGAGGATGAAGGGCACGACTTCATCAAGAACCCCAAAGCAGCAGTGACAGGACCAAGTTCTCTGATCCCTGGAGGGCACAGAGCTGTGAGGACCAAGCTTCCAGGCCCTGGGTGCTTCCCCTTTCCCTGGGTTTGTGCCTCCCTCCCCTGCTCCCTCCTCCATTCTGGCGCCTCCATCGAGGGAGGTTCAAACTTTGTGGCTCAAACTTGACCTTCAAGACCACACCCAAGGCACAGATTTGGTTTGTGCCACTGGTTTTGCAGCCATCCCTTCTTTTCCAGTTCCTGCAGCTGTTGGGATTCCCTGGTGCTCCATCCTCTCTGCTGAAGATCCCACTCTGCCTTCCCCTTCCTCACTTGGCCTCTGCTTTAATTTATTACACAACGTTTTGCTGCAGCTTCCCAAATAAACGGGTGGAAATGCGAGACCCAGGCTCTGGCTGCTTTCTCCTGGCACCACCTGCGAGGATGGGGTGAGGGAGAGGCCAGAAGGGCCCAGATCCCTCAGGCACAGGAGCTGCCATGGCACTGCCATGTGGGGCTTGGGGGGTTCCTGGTGTGCTCACGAGGTTCTGCCTGCAAACGGGCAGGAATTTGATGCCCAGGAATCAAACAGAGGTGACCCCATCACAGACAGAGAGAGCCCATCACAGCAGAAGCTCTGGTGGGTGATGGGGAGTCTCCTGCAGGATTTGGGGTGGGATGCTCCTGGAGCAGGAGATGCCCCTGACCACGTCCCACCTCCCCATAAACACCACCCAGGGACCCCAGACTCAGAAACTCTGGTGGATGATGAGGAATCTCCTGCAGGATTTGGGGTGGGATGCTCTTGACCGTGTCCCACTTCCCCAATCTCCCTAAACATCTTCCAGTGACCCCAGTCTCAGCCAGAAGCTCTGGTGGGTTATGGGGGATCTCCTGCAGGATTTGGGGTGGGATGCTCCTGACCATGTCCCGCTTCCCTCATAAAGACCACCCAGTGACCCCAGACTCAGCCAGAAGCTCTGGGGGGTGATGAGGAGTCTCCTGCAGGATTTGGGGTGCGATGCTCTGGAGCAGGAGATCCTCCTGACCATGTCCCACCTCCCCAATCCCCCTGAACATCTGCCAGTGACCCCATCACAGACAGAAGCTCTGGTACATGGTGGGGACTCTCCTGCAGGATTTGGGGTGGGATGCCCCTGACCATGTCCCACCTCCCCCATAAACACCACCCAGGGACCCCAGACTCAGCCAGAGAGACCCGAGTCTCAGCCAGAAGCTCTGGTGGGTTATGAGGAGTCTCCTGCAGGATTTGGGGTGGGATGCTCTTGGAGAAGATACCTCTGACCATGTCCCACCACCCCAATCCCCCTAAACATCTCCCAGTGACCCCAGACTCAGCCAGAAGCTCTGGTAGATGATTGGGGATCTCCTGCAGGATTTGGGGTGGGATGTTCCTGACCATGTCCCACCTCCCTAATCCCCCTGAACATCTCCCAGTGACCCCAGTCTCAGACAGAAGTTCTGGTGGGTGGTGAGGAATCTCCTGCAGGATTTGGGGCGGGATGCTCTTGGAGCAGATACCCCTGACCCTGTCCCACCTCCCCATAAACACCTTTCAGTGATCCCAGTCTCAGAAGATCTGGTGGATGATCAGGAATCTCCTGTAGGATTTGGGATGAGATGCTCCTGACCATGTCCCACCTCCCATAAACATCACCCAATGACCCCAGTCCCAGCCCCATCACAGACAAAAGCTCTGATGAGTGGATCTCTGGCAGGATTTGGGGTGGGATGCTCCTGACCATGTCCCACCTCCTCAATCCCCCTAAACACCACCCAGAGACCCCAGACTCAGTCAGAAGCTCTGGTAGATGATTGGGGATCTCCTGCAGGATTTGGGGTGGGATGCTCCTGGAGCACGAGATGCTCCTGACCATGTCCCACCTCCTCAGTCCCCATAAACACCTCCCAGTGACCCCGTCTCAGAAGCTCTGGTACATGGTGGGGACTCTCCTGCAGGACTTGGGGTGGGATGTTCCAGACCATGTCCCACCTCCCTATAAAAACCACCCAGGGACCCCAGACTCAGATAGAAGCTCTAGTGGATAAAGGGGGTGATCTCCTGCAGGATTTGGGGTGGGATGCTCCTGACCATGTCCCACCTCCCCATAACACCTCCCAGTGACCCCAGTCCCAGCCAGAAGCTCTGGTAGATAATGGGGGTGATCTCCTGCAGGATTTGGGGTGCGATGTTCTGGAGAAGGAGATGCTCCTGACCATGTCCCCATAAACACCACCCAGGGACCCCAGTCTCAGCCAGAAGCTCTGGTGGGTGACTGGGGGATCTCCTGCAGGATTTGGGGTGCGATGCCCTGGATCAGCAGGCAGTGCCCCCTTCCCACCCCTCCGCCATCCCACAGCCCTGTCCCTGTTGTGCAAGCCCCGCTCAAAGCTCACTTTGGGGCTCTTTTATCTGGGGACAAACCTCCTCGATTTCCCAGCCTGGCCCTGCCAGCGAGCAAAGGGCGCCTTTCATCAGCCAGGGCATCCCTCTGACACCGGGGTCACTGCAGCCACCCCCGCGCTCCCAAAATATCCACAAATATCCCTGCAAAGGGTGAAAACCCACAGCAGCCGAGCCGGCTGTGCGCGTGCTGGGGGCACGTGCTGCCCTGCACGCCTGGGAGCCGCCAGGGATGCGTGGGGAGTGGGGAAAAATGCGCAATTTATGGTTGGAAATATTAAAATTAATATTAAATATCTTGGGTTAGAGAGCGATGCTGTGTTGGTTCTCTTAAGGAGTGTGGTAAATATATTTTTAGGTTATAAAAGATGTTAAAATGGAAATTATGCTGTGAAAAATGCGTGTATTTTATGATTGGCTTTTGGCAAATATTCAGATTAATATTATATGTGTTATGTTAGAAACGTATGTTGTATTAATTCTCTTAAGTAGTGTGTTAAATATATAATATGTTTATATATAAATATACACCCTATAGTTTTATGTTATAAAAAATGTTAAAATAGAAACTATGCTATGTAGGATGTGAAAAATGTGTATTTATGATTGGCTTTTTGCAAATATTCAAATGAATGTTATATGTGTTGTGTTGGAAAGTGATGCTGTATTAATTGTCTTAAGTACTGTGGTAAATATATTTTTAGGTTATAAAAAATGTTAAAATAGAAATTATGCTGTGAAAAATGCATGTATTTTATGATTGGCTTTTAGCAAATATTCAGATTAATATTATATGTGTTGTGTTAGAAACGTATGCTGTATTAATTCTCTTATGTAGTGTGGTAAATATATAATATGTTTATATATAAATATACACCCTATAGGTTTAGGTTATAAAAAATGTTAAAATAGAAACTGCTGTGTAGGATGTTAAAAATGTGTATTTTTTTATTGGGTTTCTGCAATTATTCAAATAAATATGTGTTGTGTTAGAAAGTGAAGCTGCATTAATTCTCTTAAGTAGCATGTTAAATAGAGTTTTAGGTTATAAAAATGTTAAAAATGTGTATTTTATGATTGGCTTTTTGCAAATATTCAGATGAATATTATATGTTTTGTGTTAGAAAGTGATGCTGTATTAATTCTCTTAAGTACTGTGTTGAATATATAATATATTTATATAAAAATATAAACCCTATAGCTTTAGGTTATAAAAAATGTTAAAATAGAAACTATACTGTGAAAAATGCATGTATTTTATGATTGGAAATCTTCGGATGAATATTGTATGTGTTGTGTTAGAAACGTATGCTGTATTAATTCTCTTAAATAGTGTGTTAAATATATAATATGTTCATATATATAAATATAAACCCTATAGTTTTAGGTTATAAAAAATGTTAAAATAGAAACTATGCTGTGAAAAATGCATGTATTTTATGATTGGCTTTTTGCAAATTATTATTATTACTCTAATTGTATTACTATTTTCATAACCTTTTTATTACTACTCAACTTTGAAAATTTTAAAAACGAGCGATGGGCCTTTTATAACATGCATCATGCATGAGGTGTATGAATATGCAACAGGTTATTGCATTTAATGGTTAATACTTTGTTAATAATTGTCCTTTTCAGGGTTTATTTTGCCCAGAAAAAGGCACCCAGACCATCCATAACTCTTTCTATGTATTGTCTCATATTGTCCTAATTCAAATTATCCAAATTATCATTACTCTAATTGAATTACTATTTTTATAATCATTTTATGACTATTAAACTTTTAAAATTTTAAAAACAAGACCATCCATAACTCTTTGTATTTATTGCCTCAAATTGTCCTAATTCAAATTACCCAAATTATTATTATTACTCTAACTGTAATACTATTTTTATAACCATTTTATTACTATTAAGCTTTGAAAATTTTAAAAACAAGCGATTGGCGTTTTTCACATGCATCGTGGATGAGGTGTATGAATATGCAACAGGCTGTTGCATTTAATGGTTAATAATTTGTTATTAAGTGTCCTTTTTTGGGTTTATTTTGCCCAGAAAAAGGTACCCAGACCATCCATAAC